TACGTGCTCAATGAAGATCATGAACCTTTGAAACAAACTTTTTATTGAATTTTACAGAAGAATTGGTTAGAGTACTTATATGTGGCAAATTCATAAAGTAGCTGGATAGAATGCAAACTACTCAAACTAGCGCTCATCAGAAATAGCCAGTTTTTTGCGGTAATATATACAGTAGCCAGTTTAACTACCATTTATAAAAGAAAGACAAGAGAGAAAGTAATAACTAACATATTTTGTGAAATTTATAAACTAGTTCAAAGTATTGGTTAATTGAATTAAATTTTGTATTGTATTGTATTTCATTATTAAAATTAATAATATTCTAAGAGCATTTTCCAATTGAGAAATCGAAATCTGTGTAATTACGCAATATTAGCCACCCAACATCTAAAAACTATTCACAATCTGTAATGGTATTGTATTAGATAATATTAATGTGAAAATTCATTTAATTTTTATCCACTGGAAATTATCTCTAATTAATCTTCTGCCGTATANCTCGACTCTTGTTCATTAAACATACTTTTTCATACAGTACCTGCCAAAAGTTTTGTTCAATCATGAATAGTAGTGCGAGTCGAAAACAAGCGTTAAAGCCTTTAATATGTCTTCAAATATAAACAAACATCTCGTTGATATTTTCAGTAGTAAATGGTACCAATAACAGCACATTTGAACAATACAATTGTAGTGGATAAAAATTAAATGAATTTTAACACTAATATTAAATATTAACAAACCATTATTTGTTTAAAGTATTTCATATGATATTAATATACACTTTGAATCTGTCGTCTAATAAGTACATTTTGTCACGATTTCTTCTGTCACCTCTAATAGCTTAGTAGTGAAAGCATTGGTGCATAAATCCGAAAGTCTCGGGTTCAAGTCCCGGCGAGGGTGTACACAGCAGCAGTAATTTTTCCTCATTAATTTGAGATAATTTGTAGTGGATAATTAATGAATTTTCACATCAATATTAAATACTAAATACTATTATTAAAGTTTCTTAAAGTATTGTATTAGATATTTTATCTTTGATTTGAAATATTCTCGTAACAAACCGCTGAAAAGCTAACTTCAGATCGATCGCTGTTCGCGATGAAAAATGAGTTTCTGTTTCCATTTTAGCTGTCGAAGAAATCGTAAAGTTCTGTATTTGGTGCAAATAAATCTTTCGCTCTTCAAAATGCACTTGCGCTGCAATTGATACGTGACTGATTGGCAAGAAAACTTCGATAAAATAAAACGTAGGTGTATAGGTACACATATAACGTTTCGATTTTCGCCTGTCACGCGGTAATGCTTCTATTCTCGCCTGATGACTGCTATAATGCATCGAAACTTTTACTTTTAGTTTTACACAGTTGCAGAAGGGTTGTATTGCGTAATTATGAATGTCAGAGAAGCAATTTGCTTCACCAGATATATGTATGTAAAAATTATACACAAGGAGAAAATGCATTAGCTAATCCTAGCTAATAATATCAATGTGAATGTGAGTTTGTTAGTTTGATATAGTGTTGCCCAAACGCAAGAACAAGACGAGACTTAGCCAGTCTTGGTCTTGGTCTTGCGCCAATACACCTGGTCTTGGTCTTGGTCTTGGTCTTGCGCTCCCAGTCTTGGTCTTGGTCTTGGTCTTGCAGCAAGAGTCTTGCAAGTCTTGCAATTACCTATTAGTCTATTACTATTTATTAAAGTTTACTTTAAATCCTAGAAAAACGTATTAGAATTGGAACATTGTGAGCTTGAATGAATATAGCCATAGTAAAGATCAAGCAGATTAATAAATAACTGAAGATTTGATAAGAAATTCGAAAAATCAACTGACCTATATGTCGTTTTCCATGGAAGTAACTGTTTCTTAATAAACATTTATGATCCTTGCTTTCTACCGCGCCGCCTCGCCACGTGCCGGCTCTATGATAAGGATGCCGCCGCAAATCAAACAATAATATAAAGCGTGTAAAAAAATTCGAAATTATTTTGCATGAGTATACCTACACCCTATGGCGGCAATCAAATAGTGTCAAATGTTATGATTTCGGCGTGGCGGCAACGATTGTTTTAGATTTCAAAAGAAGCCGCCGGCGCGTGTATCATAACCATGTACTTCCGAAAAGCGGCAAATTTCTTTGAGAAGTAAGTACAAAACCTTTGATGCCGCATTATCAAAGTGCCGATGGTTAAAACATAACTATGCATGCACTCAGTTTGATTTTAATAATTTTTTTATTCGCTATGTTTATGGTATTAGTCGTAATGCGCATAGGTCCAGTTTTTCATATTCTTTGATACAGTTTTTTGCGTCTCATAGAATTCCTAAGCGTACCTACCTATACACCGAACTGTTACACCTAACTACTCAGTGAAATAGCGCTAAGTCCTAGCTGCAAGACGCAAGAGTCTTGCAGGCTATGTCTTGTTCTTGCTCAAGTCTTGCACGGTCAGTCTTGGTCTTGGTCTTGCTAAAAATACGCGGTCTTGTTCTTGGTCTTGGTCTTGCAAAAACGCAAGAACAAGACCAAGACTGCAAGACCAAGACTGAATTTGGGCAACACTAGTTTGATACTATTTCACGCCTCAACTACTCAACTTATCATCATGAAATTTTGTAAACACATTGTCAGGGGCACAGACAAGGACATAGGGTAGTGTTTAATCTACAAAAAAATTTTTTTCTCGAGGAAAAAAATTAGTTTTATGTTGTCGTCGATGATCTCTGACATGTATTTAAGACATCAATACCAGCGAAGCCGCGGGTAAAACCTAAACCATGAAATTTTGTATACACATTGTCAGAGGTACAGGGGTACCTTTCATCCAGAAAAAAATACTGTTCCCGAAGGATAGAAAAATTAGTTTTATTCAGAATCATCGAGTCAATTCTGCTTATCACTCTCCGAAATAGCATCGAAATACAAGTCCGCGATTGCATCGTGCAATGTTAACATAAATTGCATCGGTATTGTCCGATTACAGCACAATATTGTAACTATGCGTTGCGGTGTTAAAAACCATTAATGTAACTATTATTAACTGTTATCTTCACGCAACACTCAACGTCCGAGGACAATGTAACAACAATGAATTCGGTTTCGTGAGATCGCGCGTATTTCTAATTTACCTTGATGACGGGAAATTAAAGCAAGGCTCATGACCAGCTGTCCATTAGACGTAGAATGTTATCGGTTATCGCCATAGATTCAGTTGCCCAGGCAAAGCTACGAATGACGGAAGCGGCACGGCGACATAAAGGCTCATTACTGGAGATTCACGTGCAATTGGTTCCAATTCGATTACCCTTAAATGCTCCGAATTCCTTCGAACTGTTTACAGAGGATTTCTAAACATCTCCAATGATCGTGCAAACCCACCACCGGCTTCTATCCAGTAATTATCATTCGATTGCTCGCCTCTTCTCCATTTTGAATTACTTGACGTTGTCGGTGGTCCTACTGGCCGGTATTTACCCTGATTTAAACCAAATACTACACTACATACCAACTTAAGATCGTCATCTTCATCTTCGGCAGTTTTTGCTGTAATATATTCTAATTCTCAAAATTTCCTTCAGTTCAAACACCAAATTTATTGTAGCATACGGTGAAATCTTGCTGTCTCGAACCTTATTTTATTTTATTTTTTTGCGTCAATTAATGTAATTTATTTACAAGGTAGTGATAATTAAATTCCTCTTTTTATTTCCACTAATTTGTTTGTTTTGTTCTAATAATGATCGAGAATTTTAATATCGATGGATAAGTTGATTGGCATTTGGTGAAACGTGTTTGAATTATAAAAAATTCAGCAAATTTAAGAAAACATTTAGTATTGTAATTTCACAAAAGAATTTATCAAAAACTCTTGCAATTGTTTCGGTGATTATGCTATTATCAAAAATTATCTGCGATGTACTGAAAATGGCTTAATCGCCGAAATTTTGTGAAACTACAATACCAAACGTTTTCTTAAATTTGCTGGGTTTTTTATAATCTAGAACTTTTTGAAAGACTTTAAACTCTTCAAAACCATTCTTTCTTCAGCTTTAATTTTTGCTGTGGAATGGAGAATGTGAAAAGAACATTTTCTTTTGAACCTTTAAATTATTAAGCATTTGAGAAAAAAACTAGTAAAACTCGTACAGAATAAATCAAGGAGTTTTAACAGTAAGTGTGTCCAGATAATGTTTAAATCATCCTTCTTAATATTTTTTTATCTAGGACTAGGTGCGAGTAGCAAAGGTTCTCAAACGATGATGAGACAAATCTACCATTTTAATATTTGATTTTACCGATTCTGTTTATGTAAGACATTTTTGGGTAGGTGTAAAATCCGTCCGAAATACACTAATTACCAAGTAAAGCTACTTAAATTCCGTCTAAGGTTTTTGTGCCTATACTTCAGGGTGGAGATGTGCTTTGTCGTGGAACCAATGTTTACTGATGCATTTAGAAACTGTGCCAAATCTTTTGCCTAAAGATTCATGTGAATCACTTTTCACCCCACAAAATATTTTTGTGAATTTCGAGAAGCAATTCATACTGCAACACAATCTGTTCTGATTAAATCAAAGACAAAAGGTTGCTGTTTTCATCTACACCAAGCCTGGTATCTATCTCTGATGTTTCCACTGAATACAGAACAAAATCAGAGACAGCAAGTTTTATATTTAAGTGATTCTTTTGGATTTCCGTATCTTAGATCTAATGATGTCGTTCATGTTTTCACTGACTATTTAGTGACACTTGTCCCTGAAGTTTGCGAGTAAATGATTTTTGTGATTATGTACTAGAAAATTAATGCCTACATCTGACGAGGCTTCCTGCAGAAATATGGGCAAAGGACTTTAAAATATTTTATAGATTGTGCAAGATTATCGCCGTTATATAGCGGAAGGAATAAAAATTGTCGGGGCGGAATTTACACCTAAATATTGACACTTTTTCGAGTCTTAATGTACAAAACAATGTAATTGTGTCTTTTTTATTTTCCAGATGAACCGCCCCATCCAAGTCAAACCAGCGGATAGTGAAAACCGCGGAGGTAAGATCATTGATTTAAGATTACAAGTATAAAATAACTTTTCACAATATACTTATAGATACTTAATAGAAACGAAATTTGGCATCATACTTTGGAAGTGATTAACCAAATTTTTTCTATTTGGTGACGTTTTTAATAAACGTTAATATTTATACCTCAACGCAATGTCTTCCATCTTAATTACACACACTTTAAGAACGTATGATCTGTTGTAAATCATAAATTATATTATCGGTCGAGGTTGTATATCTTGTTAAAATGAAATTTTCGAAAAGTATGAGGAAAAGTTAAGCTAACCGTTGCTGTTTAGTGGCTACGGCATTTTATGAATGACAAGGAACATTGAGTATTAAGTAAGCGTGCTGCAAGCAGAATAAATTTGTCATTAGTGGGTCTAGACTTTGGATATATTAATTTTTTCTGTAAGAAACTTGTTCACTTTTTTCTGATATGCGAAGCGTACGTTGTTGGGTTCTCGACGGAAATTGCTTTCTTCCACGCGAAGAGGGCCGTGGAAACCCGGAGAACTAAATGAAGAGAGCTTAACGGGCTCAAAGGTCCTTATTTCGTGTTCATTTTAATGGCTTCCAGAAGTAGATTAGAATATAATCCAGAAATTGTGTCCCACGGCGTGCTCAGTCTCCAATATGAACATAAACGTAAAATAATTTCTTTTTAAGCGACCGTAAGTTGCCAGACCAGGGCCTATTCAGTAAAATTAATTGAAAATGCTTTAGTTTCTGATGTGCCCCGCTCTCTCGTCAGCCTGTGACAAAAGCCCGATTTTTCGCTTGTTAAATTAAACCTGGACTTTTTCTAACGTCAAACGTTTAACGCCCTTTAGAGATCGCGGTAACAAAACATCGCGCTCTCTGCTTGTTTTTACACTTTCGACGAAAACTGGCTTTGTAATGTCCCGCAAAAAAACGACCGTTTTAACCACAATTGACCAAAAGGATAATTAAAAACAGGAACTGCATCGGCGAATGTAGAATTTCTCAAAAAATAATTCTCTAATTAAAACGCTTTTTTATAAAAGCTGCCCAAGATTGTAGAAATAATTTTTTCATTAATTTCTTTATTCATATTTAAAAATTCTTTTTGAGGTTAATTTTTTTTTTAATGTTAAACAATATTGAACGAGAGAGAATGGAATCGAAATAAAAAATACTCCCTAGAGACAGTGTTTTATGAAGTGTCTCTAGGAGGTAAAGTTAGTCTATGTTTTGACGAAATTAATGAGATCTAACGCGATCAACGCATGGAATATATCTATTTTTTTTTTGAAGCTCTTAAAAGTCAACTTCATTGCACTCTAAAAAGGTAGCGTCTTACATTGGAGTGTTCGCAACAACTGTTTGTGGTTTATTTATGCTAAAAGTTGGTTAAAAAAATGTTTTGACCTTGATGAGATGTGTGTTATAAAAAAGCTGCAGCATTTTCTTTGAGTCACACTATTACTGAAGTAATTTTACTGTTCAAAAAGCCGCAAACGTTTTTGACGAAATATCAAAACGGTCTAGTAGAATTCAAACGAAAAAAGTTCAGAATCATATTGGCTTGATCCAGACAGAACCCCGTGGGAATACTAATTTAGTGGATTTTTAACGTCTTGTGTTTCTTTACATTCGCTTTCTGACTTTCGAATGCTTTCCAGGGGTGGCATGAGTTAGCTTTGAAGCCTTTTTCGTAAAGAACTTTTTTCTTTCGTTACGAATAGAAATCAAAATTCAAAAGAGTTTTCACTTCCAATTCCAATCGTTTCGTTCAATTTTCTTTTTGTATCGACTAGTGTGTATAAATATAGCTACCAAACCGAATAAAATTGTTATTTGTTAAAAATACTTATTTTTAATATATATACTTTGTCTTGTACTGCCACAATTAGCATTTAAGCTTATGAAAGTGAGAAACGTTAGTATGTATTAGCTATATTTTTGGTCTCTTTTTGTCTCAAATTTTTTGATATTTTTATCTACAACCATGGTGAATTTTTCTTCTATAATGTGGGAAAACGTTATTTAATAATTACCCAGGCACTTATTTAAGAAAGAAAACGAGAAGCTCAAGTGGTTTCCTTGCTGGGAAAACGAAAATAAACGTATTAAATAATTACGAAACTCAGTAACAGGGAGAGTAACAATAATTACGGAAAAAAAAATTTTCGTATTCGAGAGACTTTGACACTTTAGAATGTCTATCAGAAAATTGAATTGTATTGAAATGTGTCGCAAGTGAATAATGTATCTATTCATTTTTAATGGAAAATTTCAAATCGAATCTCGGGTAAATAAACATTTAAAACATATTTGCTGTTCTGATAGGTCTATCTATAGAAATCAAATCAAATTTTCTGGAAACGTATTGGTACAACAGTAAAAAACAAAATGTTGTCGCCTTAACTAAATTATGTCTTAAATATCTTATGATTCCTTACATTTGATGATTTACAACAGTCTAAATTTAATGAATTTTCAATTAAACCTAATGAAAGTCGTTCGATATTGGATTTGTCTTTCTGATCATCTTGGTGACTTTAGTCATTGCGTTGAGGATATTATAAAATGATAATAGGTATAGAACAAACCAAATGTGGTAGTAAATAACAATAGCAATGATAAATATATTTAAGAATGGGTTAAATTAAAGTAAAAAACAAAAGAGCGGTTGCCGTGGAGGACGCCTGCTAGTTCTGTTATCTGCTTACAGAGCTCGCTATGGCGCTCCAACGCTACAGACGCTGGAAGTAGAATTTGACGAGAAAGAGAGAAAAGAAAGTGAGCGATTGAAGAGAGTTCGATATTGAATTCGAGCCAGACCGCACGGTCAAGTAAGGGGCCGCACGACATTCTGCTACCATTACACTCTGAAAAATAACACGTTAATTCGTCACGTTTGATCTACTTTATTTTTGATGATATTCAATTCAAATCGTAAATGTTTAATCGTCTTATCAACTAATTCAGAATTTTCTGTTGTTAATCACGTATCTTGCTAGCTTTTCTGTACACAAAATTCATGATAGGCTGTAACATTTTCATTTGGACAAACTACAGAAACTTTTGGGACACTTCTGTTTTGCATTAGATGCGTTACAATTGATTGAAAACTACATATCAAGGAAGTCACAGTAAGTCTCCATCAATGGATATTTAAAATACTGCAATTACCTGCAAATGACTATAGACGGCGACATAGAGTCCTTTAGTAGGTCATCATTCCTATTAAGATCACTTCTTAATACTGATAAATAAATTTGTAAATCTAGGGGTTAATGTACCGTGAATTTTTACGAAACAAGGCAATAATATCTTAAACACTGGTACAAATTCCAAGAAATTGGGACTTACTGCCCGGGGCCCACGATCTCCTTTGCCCTCCCCCCACGCTACGCCACTGGTTAAACAGATCCAAAAAATTAAGCTAGGTTTCAACTGTGACAGTTTCGATAAACTTGTTCGGACTGTTTCAAGCTTCACAATATTTAGAAAAAATTAAAAGGATGTTGCTTCGTAAATGATTGAGTATCACTATTTATTTATTTTATTGACCTATTGTACCCCTCAACCTAGAATAACATTGAAGCCTTTTTAGAAAATAATCAATTGACAAATTCTCTTTTAAATTCTTGTTATTCAACGACAACCTTTGTGCATAAAATTTAATTAAATAGTTGGAGATTTAGATATATAATATTTTAGTTAGGCATTGATTTATTAATTATTAAATCGTTTATTAAATAAATAAATTAGTTACCTTTTAAATAAAATTCCATACTAATTATATGGTTACATGATAAACAAAATAATTTGTTTTCGACAGAAAATTTTATATTTTGAATGGATATCTTTATTATACATAATCAT